GTGTACGGCATTCATGCGTTTTTAAAGCATGCACGGCTTGCGCGCGCTACGTTTATTGCATTTTTAAGTAGAGGAAGTTGAAGTTATTTTCACTATTGCAAAGAAGACCAGGGGCTCTGTGACTCTGACCAAGATTATTTTGTTTATTTTGTCTGCGTCATTCTTGATTTTTCAACGCGCACCAGATGATGACTTTTCAATCACAACCAATGACGCCGACACCAGCATTTCGGCAAAACAAACTCTTTAACTCTGTCAGTTTAAAGTATAGGGCTGAGGACTACGCCTTGTGAAACTGCACGGGTTACGTAGTGCAAACGTTCACTGGCCACCACAGTCTCTAAAGAATGTGCATTTATACACATGCATAAAAAGCATAAACATGCATTATGCTAGCATCATGCATAAACATGCATAAAAAGAATAGACCCAAACTGGCAATCAATATCGTGTTAATTTTTTTGGATATTTCAGTTCCCGAAAGCTTGCAGTACTCGTTAAACAACACCACAAGTCAAGTGACTGTTATTATCTACAATTAACGTAAATTCAACTCTGATGACTGCCACAAAAAAATGCCCCCCCCCCCCCCGCTTTGTGAAGAGAATCGTGAAGAAATGCTAATGCGTTGCGTAGCATTTCTAACGACGTTTCGCACGTGAAAATCCAGCGTTAGAAGAGTCATGTTTTCTTGTTTTTTTTTCATTGTGCAGCCAATAGCGCCGTTTGCCGCACGCGGCGTTTTTCTAACGCGAGAAACATGGTATGCGTTTCCAGCTCAGTAGCTAACAGACACGGTTCAAAAGTACTATGAAGTGAATGAAACAGACAGCGTTCTCGGCTCAACGTTGGCGTTTCACAACGGCGTCTCGAGCACACAATTCCAGATGCAGTTGAGAGGTGCCGAGCCAGCGAATAGTCAAGAGTGAGGCGCCAGCGAACGGAAAAGTGGGGCGCATGTAGGAGAGTGAGAGCGAACGACGAGAGAAGGAGTGGCAAAGCACTGCACCTACCGTCTCCTACTATCCCTCGCACCACATGCTAGGGTTGCTAGGGGAGAGATTAAGCGCGCGTGCCGACAGCTCTTGCTATGGGAGAGGCAGTGCCGTGGACGCCGCAGACAACACCGGATGCCTGAAAGATCCCGGCCCAAGAAGTGCAGTCGCATATAAAAAGCCGCCTGCATCCTCCGCTGGGTGCGCTCGAGAAAATGTGTCGAAAAAAAGTGGGGGAGTCACGAGAATGTTGCGGGTTCGGGCATGTTTTTGGAATGCTTAATGGCTATTTCGCTTCTATTATTCTTATTTATTGAATGAAGAAGAAGTGTTGCCTTCAGGTAGTAGTGAGACGCTGATGTGTGATCCAGTGCCTACATGGCCAGCGAACATTAAAACTCGGCAACAACTTTCTGTGGCTGCACAGCCGAGCGCACGAAGCCCTCGTACGCCCCTTTTTACTACGCTTCTGCAGGTAATGCACGAACGTTAACTATTGTATACTGCGTAGCATATGGTAAAATATAGAATGAAAAGATGGGAATATATTATTCAAGATTGTTTGCATTTATATTAGGAAGCATCACCCGTGTAGGTTTTTTGTTCTTTGCTGTTTCTAGTTTTTTTTTGGTTTTATGGTGCCATTTCACCTTTTTCTTGCCTCGGCAAACAACAATGGCGTCGCTCTATTGCAGCAAGTTCACCTCGAAGCTTGTGAGTGAGTTTCAGTGCGTGTTCATTAGGTGATCGGTATTCATCAAGCAAGGAGAAACGAAGACAGTAGTGCGTCGTGAAATATTTTGCTTCCCGCACATGCAATCACCGAGAAGTTGTGTGCGAGTGATACCATTAGTGAAAGTGGGACTCTCATTGCTATAAACACCTTGATAGCGACACCGGTGATCAACCAGTCTTCAGAAACACCAGCTGCTTGGAAGAAAAGTGCAATTAAGAATTGTACCTAAAACCAGTGACCATTTTCCTAAATTGCGTTGCATACGTGGTCCGTGTTTGAGCTGCCTAATATTGTTGATAAGACAACGCTGAAGATGGTGTACCGTAACACCGCTCCCGTTGGCGTCAACGGAGGGGGTCGTTCCTTCCGCTTTGCCTGGGAAACACTCGCATTACTGTATATTACCCATTGACTGTGCAAACACAGCAGTCTTCGCCGAGGAAAGATTGCGTTTCATCCACTTCGATTTACTAACGTGAGACGCCCGCTCAATACTGATCGGTGCCGAAATTTCTGCTTCCCACCGATGCCTTCGCGTCCCGTAAAAATCGCATGAGCGTCTTGAGAAAGTTTTTGCGTCTCTAAAGGAGGGTGAAGAATGATGCTGACCGAGCATGCACTGATATAGAGGAAATTATTTTTTGGCTGTGCGTTGTTCCAATCGCCCAGTACCTGCTCGACCGTACTCTTTTTTTTAAATGCGAAGCATTTCTTAGCGAACTTCGGCGACTTTGAGTGTATCTATCATCTATATATCTATCTAGCCACCTACAACTTGTAGCTCTCCTGGCCGTTTCGATAGTGGTATTGTTACCAAACTTGGTATGGCATAACACGGCTGTATGAAAAACATGCTTGACTAGTCATAGCATGAAAATCATGATAAGTATTTCATGATTGTCATGACTAACATTTCAAGGTCTTGCAGCTCTTGCGGTGGTTCTGTTCACATTACATGTTGCAAAACTAGTATGGTATGACATGATTGCATGGCTAACACAGGCGACAGACCCTAACATGAAAATCATGACATGCGTGTCATGTACAACATGAATACATACCACGCTCATGATGCACTCGCGACCGTTTTGCCAGCTACGCATATACCAAATTTTGTACTGAATGGATAATGAACGTATGTTACTGGTGCAAACATGATAATAATGTGATGCGTCTCATGCAACAACATGATTACATGCCACGCTCATGATGCGCTGGCAGCCGTTTCGCTAGATTCACCTGTACCAAATTTCGTGTTATGGCACGTGAATGAATGACAAAGGTATGATACTGGTGCAAACATGATAAACATTAGATGTGTGTCATGTATCGACATGACTACATGCTACGCTCATGATGCGCTCGAGGCTATTTTGCTAGCTTCACATATACCAAACTCAGTATTACGCGACGCGAACGAATGACATAGGTAACTGACACATGCAAACATGATAATCACGACATATGTGTCATGTAAAAACATGACTACATGCCACACTGATGATGCGCTCGCGGCCGTTTCGCTAACTTCACATATGCGAAATTTTGTATCACGTGACGCCAAGGGATGACGAAGGTATGTGACTGGCGAAAACATGATAATCATGAGATTCGTGTCACGTGAGAACATGACTACATGCCACAGTCAAGGCGCCAATAAGATTTGACGTGGCGCGGTGCGCGTGCTCACCCGCGTTCATTTCGTCGGGGCACGCCGGCGTTGCCACCCCAGGCACAGGTCCTGCCATATATTCGCAGGCGCGCACCGTGCTGCGTTGCTTAATGCATGGGCGTTTCAGCGCGTCCGGCGTCCCTTCGTCACGAAAAGAGGAAGACGCAGTCTTGCCTGGGTAACGCATCGGCACGAAATACAGCATGTCGCATTTCGCGCCGATTACCGTCGGGCCGCGCTGACGGACGCTGGTCGTGCCTGGCATAAGACTACAGAGTGCTCGCGTTTTGCTAACGTAGCGTCGCTTTGCCCAGTGTGCGCATGTGTCAATGCTACAATGAAGTAAATTGCGCCCTTCATGATACGCTCACAGGCATTTTGCAAGCTCCACGTATAACAACTTTGCTGTTACGTTAAGACAATTAATGACAAAGTATACGAATGGTGCAAACATGATAATCCTGACACGCGTGCCATGCGAAAACATGACAACATACCACGCTCAAAACGTGCTTGCGGCCGTTTACTTAGCTCTACATATGCTAAATTTGGTATCACGTGACGGGAATAGATGACGAAGGAAACGACACATCCAAACAAAATAATTATGACTCGATAGTCATGTACGGCATCATTTACCTCCCCATTGTTATGTTGTGCTGATTTTAAAGTGACATATCAACACTGCTCAGTCGTGCTTCGCGTGTAATCGATTCCCGCTGTACGTGGAATCTGCCAATTATTTTTTTCTAAATAAATGTCAACACTCCAAAGAAGCTTCGTGCTCTTTTAGTTTAAAAATGAACATTTTATTTATTGCCTCCCAAACCAATCTAACACTTATTGCATGGCGGTCGTGCGAAAAAGTACATTTTGGAAGCGCTTGCGAAACCGAAACCGAAATCACACGAAAACAAACTACTTCGCCTAGTAACACATGTGCAGAAGATCCACCCACATACCTTTGGCTGTGCTGCCAAAGAAATTTGTTGCCGAATGCAGACGCTGCCTGCGTTGGCCTTCCTAGATGAGAGAGGATGGGGGAGGGACAGTTGACACGAGACGCAAGCATGCTGCATGAGACGCGAGTTTGCGCAGTGGGGTTACCGACGCCACCACCGAGGCCGGATTTGCGAGTAAGTGCCAATACGAAATTCCCCGGATTTAAAATCAGTTTTGTTGTTTTATTGCTAAAAACATAGAAAGTGCAAACACCGACGCACAAAAGAAGTCAACATACCACAAACACCAATTCACAGCGAGTACCTCCCCACATGCTACACTTTGTTATTATAGTTTTATTTTCTAAAGTGAATATAGAAAACTAACAGGCCATATCGCAAACAATCTGTGGTTTTGAGTGATCTCGTAGAATGAGTAGCACTTTTTTTGCACAAAAGCACTGTTCTTCCTTGGGGAATCGCACACCGGGAATTCATCGCGTTTTGGCGCTGTTGCACAAATGACCAGCGTCCTTCTTTTAAACCTGGCACCTGTGATACGCAAAAGTAAGAGATGCTCGACTTCAGCGCAGAGTTGTTGGTTGTCTGATGCCGTGGAACTTGGAAAAAACGATGAGCGCTAAATAGGTATTCGGTTACCCAGGGTAATCAAAGCGAACCACCACATTGTTGCGCTCGCGAATCCATTTTGTGGCTATCCACTTGGTACCCCACAAAACGGGGCAACCGACGTGTTTTGTAAGCACTTCCAATGTTTTCCTCTGGTGCCAGAAGGAAAAGTGTATGGGTCTGTCGTTACCCGAGTACGGTGCCAGGTCGTACCAGAAGAGTGCCGAGCCACGCCGAGGTTTCACGGCCAGCTTCAGATGAGTGAATGCTGTGGCACCACCTAACGCGACGTCTGTCAGATAGAGCAGCATGGTGGCCACACGGTTGCCGCTGCCCGTGTCCCACTCGTCCGCGATCTGGTCGAAGCTATTGGCGTCGTCGTGCGGCGTGTAGTGTCCACCGAGACCGTAGTTAGCCACCTGGTAAGGTTCGGATGATTCCAAAGAGAGTCCAGACGCCATGCCGATGCGACGACCCAATGAATTAAGGAAAGGGTGCTTAGTGTCCCATAGCCAGGACACCTGCGTTCAGAACCAAACCGGAAAATATCCTCAGTGCTGTTTTTTTCCTAGTATCACCTGCCGTGGTAGGTCAGCACGTAAGGCACTGTGCTGCAAAGCTCGAGGGCAGGGGTTCACTTCCCATGGACTCAAGCGTTCGCATGCGGCCGAAACGCAGTGGTGCTCCTTTCAGCACGCTAAAAAACACGAGAGAGTAGAAACGTATATTGCGTCTCTCCCTACATCATTCCTTATAATCATATTGCTAAACGCCATATGAGGATTTATTTGGCCATTGTGGCCTGATTTTTTTTGGTAACCAAGCTTCAGTATTTTATATGCTGCTTGTTCTTCGCAAAGATGCTAGTGTGGACACCTAAGCCGCATTTTCAATTTTTTGACTACCCTAGCGCTTCAAAACCGAGCCTTTGATTATAATGTACGATAGGGCAACAAGAACGTGGAGGTAGCGCAGTCACGGTGAAGAGAGAGAGAGAGGAGGAGGATAAACGCGGAAGAATGTAGAGTGAGAACATGAGTCGAAAGGGTGATTAGGAGAGTAGCTTTCTATGAAACCTAATTTCGTGGGTTGACGTCTGTCGGTGGTCCATAAGAAGTTGCTCAAGAATAACGTGTCATTATCAGACCACATACAGCTCAATTATTATGAGGCGCAGTGAACACCACGGACGATAAAATAGCTCGAAGCAAAGGGACCTTGAGGTAGTGTTGTACTGTTGAGTGTGTTCACACACTGTTAAGGAATATGTCTCCTCAAGTCATTTACCACGCCGTTGAAGCACCTCTTTAACCAGTTTGTGCAACGCTGTCCCACCGTGCGAACGCACCGCAGGTGTTGGCGCGGTGCGAAGCAGGTCATGTCGCCTCTGCACATTGATGTCACGTTCCCCCCAGCGTGCGCGCTGGCGTCACTCTCTTCCTCTGCTGCCGCGCGCACGCCGTGACGCCCGCAGTTGTCGTTGCGTTCATTAGCCCGCAACACCTGCTGCGTCCACCGACTTGTTGGTTCAAGCGCAATAAACCTGACGCGCACCTAACGTACGCGTTAAAACAAGTCTGTACGGGTCACCAACAAGACCTACGCCAGCCATCGCTTCAAACTAATCTTCCAGCGCTCACCGCTACAACACCGAAGTTAGTGCTGTTCAACGTTCAACCCGTCATGCCATCGTGCACAACGACATTGCATCGCATCCTATTAGGGTTCCCTTCGGGGAGATGGTCGAAGTTTTCTTTAGCGGTGCCTTAGTGTAACCTTGTCTTGCGTCACGCGTAAGTTAGAGATTAAGAGACGAAAAACAAAAAAAGACAGTATCTCTCGAACAGTACATTAGACAGCGCTGTCTCATAGAAGTACAATCAAACTGCAGTTAGTCGAGGATTTTTGAGATGGCACTGCACCTTTACTCTCCTGTTGGCTGCTGCCCGGCCTGTGTCTGCGTACACTTAGAACAAGTACCTTTCTCAGTCTACGGGATAGTTGCCGTAAGTGGCGGATCGTTGGTGGGGCATGGATGAACCTCAGCGGCGGGTGCGTTGAAAACGCTTGCGCTCGGCATCTTCGGCTCGCGTCTTGACGGTGTGACCGGCACGCCGTCTGCATTGTCGAACGCGATCATACGCATGGACGCATGCACGAAAGAAGAGATACTCGGACGAATGGATGGACGGACGCTTCGCTCCACTCATCATCATTCACTCCGTAGATATGATGTGATTTTTTTATCACGATTGACGTCTCTACAAAAGGTACACAAGGGGTTAACCGCTCTTAACAATTGAATCAGGATCAGGCTTAATCATGATCAGCAGTGCACCATGAAACCCCCTTCTTACAAAAATACGGTTACTATAAAGGACCAGTGAATTTCTTGGAGAAAGTTTTTATATATGTTTAATATTTCATGAAAACAAAGTTTACTGACAATTGGTAAAAAGTTGACAATATTCGGTTACCTTTCTTAGATACAATTTAGAGAATGCAAATAATCAAAGAACTTAAGACAGGTGATTGTGTTTTTATGTTTCATCTAATGTAGGCTATACAGAAACCGAAATTCGCATAATCAGCGTAAGCCTAGACTATAAATTTATTAAAGAAAAAAATACCTTCTTGTTTCATTTGTTTAACCCTAGTTTGGAGAAGGTCTATGAGCAAAGCTAATACGTGTTGGTTTAATTTATTTGTTTTATTCCGGGCTCTCAGTAACATATTTGATTAGCTGTTATTCCATTTTATTATCTATTGTATAGAAGGTCTAAAACGAAAGTTGAAGTAGGTTGATTTCCTTTATTGTCATATATAGAATTTTAATTGAAATTTCACCTAGCATGTGTTCCTTTTTACGCTAACATTTCATTTAACTTTAACTAATTCATTTTTGCTCAACGACCCATCGGGCCCTGTACTTCAGATGTCATATATACAAACTATGGGAGATACTTCATTGGACTCAAGCACGATATACCGAGTTGGGGGTGAGGTGTGGTTGAAAGCTTCGCTGGAGGTCTGAGTGGTGTGCGCGTCTTTGCGTCTCATTGTAATGGACCACTGCACTGTTCTTAGCGCCGAGAACAAGCACTGACGCCACTGCGGTCGTGGTGACGGCACGTCCCGGCGAGGACTGGCCTACTCCGCCACCACTTCACGCCTTTTCTGCGTCCACCGTGTAACCGCTCTTTTGAAATATGGTGGTGACAAGTCCTTTATTCTGAGACGCTAACCTTTCAAGGAACAAGGTAGAAAGTTTCACAGGTGGTGAAAATTATCCAAGCTGCAAAGAGGTGTCGTAATTAATCTTAGTATGGGCTGACGACCCTCTTAACAAAACCATTGCTGTGAAAACAGTGATGCAGGTCAGCAAGACGCTCGTTGTTTTCACCCCATGCATTGCGAAGTCGGTGTTAGAACATGATTACAACTAGGCATACACTTGGGGTTTAAAAAAATATGTGAGCGGAAGTATGACAAAGCAAATTGAGATGCTTTGAATTCACTGAATATCTATCACAGTTTAGAGTGCAAGTTACGCATGCACATGGAAACAATCAAAAAGACTTGGCAGAATTGCGCTATCTACAAATGGACACTTTTCTTGAATCTGTTTTTGATAGGCAGTCACTTTCCATATTCGGAAAGTAAAATGAAGTATTAACGTCACACTCACAATTCCGAAAATATTGATATAACCGTTCACTCGAAACATATGCACATAATTCTTCTCAATAGTCACCAGGAGTTCCGTAGTCGTATACCCTGGTTTGTCTGAAATGCTTCCCCGATCTGCCACCACGTCCCAAACCGTATTATTCACTTGACGTGGGAGCACCGCTTACAGTGAAGATTCTCCAATTCAACGCGAGAAAGTAGCGATTGATTGTGATTTGTGGGGTTTAACGTCCCTAAACCATCATGTGAATATGAGAGACGCCGTAGTGGAGGGCTCTGGAAATTTTTACCACCTTGGGTTCTTTAACGTGCACCCAAATCTGAGTACACGGGCCTACAACATTTCCGCCTCCATCGAAAATGCAGCCGCCACAGCCGGGATTTGATCCCGCGACCTGCGGGTAAGCAGCCGAGTACCTTAGCCACTAGACCACCGTTGCGGGGCAGCGAAGAAGTCGCGATGGTGCGCTCAGAGACATGACCAAGTAATACTTAAGATTTGTCTCAACGAGGCGATCACTGGTTTTGCACGTCAGGTCTACCTACAGCTAACTTTTGTGAAGAAATTATTTTGTGAGGTGTGTATCAAAACTGGTATTTAAATGCACGTCAGAACCGTTGCTACCATGCTGCACGCAGACAGAATCAGACATGAATGGGGAAGAATTTTGGAAGTTAACTTCAACCGCAGTTCATTTGAATAACTTCAGTAAATTGAAGCACTAAAAGCAGAGAAGCATGAAACAAAACGACGCGGATAGTGAGCAAGTACACGAGAGAATAGACACAACAGCTGCGGCGGCAGTTCGAAGGGCAAGTGCATCGCAGATATCTTGCAAAACTTCACAAAGCACGCGAGGGTTGTGCTTGACACACCAGTAAAAGTGCTTTCCGTACATACATGAATAACTTCGAAATAATTAATACTGACGGAGAGAAAATCCGCTTATCTCCTAAAAGAATCGCCCATGAACAACTCAAATTAACAATGTAAACATCGCGTCTTGCGTCTCAAATTCACGACATCATCATGCGGTAGTAAGTTTGCTGTTTATAAGCAAGAGCTTCTTCTCGCTTTTAAAACCTGGAATGCGGCTGCTTTTAGCAGTAATAAAACGTATAATAGGAGTCATCAGTACGACACACACCTGCACACCTCTTTCATATTCGGCTATATACGACCAAGCGCGAGCACCTTTAGCGATTGCACATAACCAAACATAAACTTTTTATAGTTTTATCAGGAAAATAATTGATTCTGGTTTCGCCATTCACCCATAGCTTGAAGCAAGCAAAAAGCAAGCGCAAACAGCGGAACAGCACATGAAGCGAACGCGCATTGTTATGTAGGCGTGTGCGAGCGAGAATCGAAGAGTTCGTGCCGTGACGTCACCCAGGCCTCCCTTCAGGCGGCACCACCCTAACTTCCCGGGGCCAATTGAAGCTTCCGCGGAGATTATTAGTGTGTGTAGGCCTATGCACGTGACCAGAAAAGGAAGAAGGTTGCGGTCCCCCATAATTGATTAAGAGGAGGGAGGGGTTTTCGTAAAGATATCTTGGTTGATGAAGTTCTGTACATTGCTACTGTCGGGAACCCAGAATGGTCTGTTTTCGAACACATCTAAACATCAAATTGAGAGTCCTGGTTTGCTATCTATTTGATTTCGCTTATGCGTTTGCATGCGTCATGCACTTGTTATTGCTATTTCCTAACAACTTTTAAAATATTTGTTCACTCAGTGAATCTGCGCTAAAGATATAGCTTATTTCTTTGATCCAACCTGATGAGCAGTGTTGCATTGATATGTTTGGGCTAATAACTTGCCTATTTCACAATGAGCGAAGCCTTTTTTCCGCAGAAATTTCTCACAATTTGAATTACGCTCATCACTCATTCTTTCACTAACAACAATATTTCGTGAAAACAGCTAGGCACCATAGCATCAGCGACATCAACATTATCAGCAAAAGCAAAATACATAAAACTCCAAACTCAGCTTTGTGAATTTAGACCGGCCTAAACTGGCCTACAAGAAATGTCGTGAGCATTGTGAACTTGCCGACAGAACATTAAGCTTGATTATCATAAGGTCCTTTGGTCTGAAGACAATTACATTTGTTGTAGGCCTGTTATTTTGTGCTATCGTAAGAATTTAATTTTGCTTATACGGGAGCAACTATAAACTAATAATGCAAGCAATGATACCTTGCTGATGCGCCTGTAACTGGTTATTCCTGATGGATTTTCCCAGTCATATATGCTTCCTCGCTGCAAACCTGTACGCCCAGAGTCCTGCATGTAGGCCAGTTCAGACGGATTGAGGAAGTCGGCGAATACCACGACGCGAGGCGTTTGGGACAACACTTCCACCTTGAGTGGCGCAAGTATTAACCGAGGATCTCCATCGCCAGTCCACAGGACACAAGTGAGTTCAGCCTTAGTCGTTCGAAAATCACCTTTTTCCACGCACACTGGCTTGTATTCGTCCACGTCAGTTTCTGGCGGGGCAGGGTACAGGTGCTGGTACTTTGATTTCAAGGCCGCGCGCCTAGCGTCGTTGACCTGAAGCCACGAAAGCCCCAACTCAACTTTACTGAGGCCACCTTGCGTGTACCGTGCTCGAGCGAGTGCTTGTTCAGACCAGGCTGTTGTGTTACCGTGCGTCGCTTTTGCGTAGCAGCCTCTTGCGACTATGATGAAGTCTCGCGGCAAAAGAGGCTGTAGCCGACGATCAATCATGGACACTATTCGTGCGACTGACACTTCGTAGACTCGCTGTAGTTTGCATAGGCCATCGGTGACTCCCCTGACGTCGCTGTCAGCCGGCCACCACTCACGCGATGAAGGTGCTGCGAAGGCCGAAAACAGTGGCTCCAAAGACGCGTCGCCAGACGCTGTCGCAGTGAGGTCTGAATACAGATCGTACAGGCGAGAAGCGTAGATGAACTTACTCAAAGCCGTGTCGGAGCCGATGCGAGGGTTAATAACGAAACGCAGCCGGTGATGCGCGGCGGCTCGGTCCAAGCGGGTCTCTTCAAGTGACAAGAAGAAACGGGCGTCTTCCAAGTTGAGAGCCTCGGTAGTCATCGACTCTAGCATGTCGTGCGTAGACGTGAACAAGTCAGAAATGCATGGTTGAGGATAAAATAGCCAGCAAACTGAAATCACCCAACACCACGCAGCAGGCATTCTTCTTCTTCATTGGCTTCGAATTTTCTTCATTGGCACAATTTTTCAAGCTAGGGCTTTCGAAAGCACACAAAAATAGACATTAGGAATTCAACGACTGACGTGAGTAATTTTGTGAGCGATACTCAGATAGAGAAAGGGAAACGTCATACTCGAAACAGGAGAAGTGATCTTGCACGTAGAAAGGAATCCTCACTTTGTTCAGGAAAACATCGAGGCAGGGGGCACAGGTGCGTTCGCGTAGCACTAAACTGTAAGATGTTTAAATAAAAAAACATATTTTAGCCACAATCATTTAAATACCGGAATCACAGAACTATTACGGCCCCTTCTAAAATATTACGGCCCCCTTTCCCGTTTGGCCTGTGGTCTTTCGGCGGGAAACTATACTACTAAGCCACATGTTCACTTTCACGGAATTCTGCGCGGCCAACGCAGCAAAAATAAACCTCTTGATAGCAAAAAAACGCATTTCATCACAATAGCAAAGCACAGAATGCGATAGCAAGAAATCGTATTGTTATACAAGCTAAGGCTTGTAGCTAACTACAGCAGACGCAGTCTCGCATAACTCTACCAAACAGTGATGTAAGAAAAGTGGGCTGCTCCTGCCATCCAGAGAGGGATACAAAACGTTATCGTTGTGTTCGCTGGCGTCAAAGGAGCAGTGACGTCAACATTGCGCGTGCTGAATTTTATTTAACGTTAATGCGTAGTTATCGATCCCCTAGTAACAATTCTGCAACAATAATGCAACAGCTAGACAAAATGTTTTTTGTAATATTGATTAATACTGCCGCATGTTGTTAGGCATCTACTGAAATCTTGCGCCGCTTTCTGCTCTTATGAATTTTGCCAGACCAACTGACAAGCCAAACGCGCCAAGCTAAACGCGCCATGCAACGCTGGCTGCACGTGTCACCACACCACGCGCTGGAAAAAAAAAAGGCTGGCAGTTCTTCGAAGGAGCGGCACGCGGCGAGACGCAAAAGAAGAGGTTTACGAGGTTTTAGGGTGAAGCTCCTTAAAGGGGCACCCCGTTCGTCCCTCGTAGTCGTAGCCGTAGTGTGTAACAAGTGCTACATTTTGACCTGCAAGTTGGTGCCGGTGGGAGATTTCTCCTGTGCTTTGTTGAACAATAAAAGTTCGCTGCTGCTGCTGCTGCTGAAAAACATTTATTTACAGATGTTATTTACAGGGAGGATGGAAACGGTCCTGAAGGGGCCACCCCGTACAAACACTAGGTGAGCTCCCTCTTACGGGAGCCCATTGGCGTTGGCCGCGGCCCGGGCACGCTCGAGCAGGGCCCGTTGGGCCGTCAGGTCAGAGCAGCCGAGCAGGGCTGCCTCCCAGTCCTCCCGCGAAGGATTGGGTAGTGGGGTAAGGTTTGGGGTTTTTTTGGCATGCCCACACCACGTGGAAAATGTCAGAGGAATTTTCCTCACAATGCGGGCACTTCCCCGTGCATGCGGGGTCAAAGTGTTTTATGATTGCCGGGTCCAATAGAGTTTTAGTATAAAGGCGAAGGAGGATTCGCTCCTCCGCCTTCGTGAGGCCCTTACAGGGTTTTGGATAAACGTTATGGCCGGATTGATAGAATTGTGTGACCTCCTTAAAGGTGTAGGCGGGATTGGGTTCGAGTTCCGGATCGGTAGGGGACGAGGATGGTGCCCGGAGAGTGAGCGCGCGGGCGGCGCCATCGGCCGTCTTATTACCATCGAGGCCTGTGTGAGCCGAAGCCCATATGATCGTTCGGTGCGCGGGGGCACCTAGGTAGCTGCTGTTCTGCAAAATTTTATAAGCAAGGTTCAATATTGCGACAGGCTGTTCAATATTGCGAAGGCACCCCTTGAGTCGGTGATGATGACCCTCGAGTCCTGATCTGCAGCAGCTAGTGCGATTGCAATCTCCTCCGCGCGCGTAATGTTATGTGCACGGAATGTGAGTCCGTTCACAACGGTGTTTTGGTGGACGACCGCAGCCGTGTGCCAACCACCGTGGTGGGGGCCGGAGGCGTCCACGTAGAATACTCCGAATTTGTGGCCGTAGTGTCGAGCCAAGGCTTCCGCCCGCGCGAGGCGTCGGCCACTGTAGTTGTCTCGGGTCAGGTTAGCCGGAAGAGGGCGCATGTGCAAGGAGTATCGCCAAACTTCTGGAATCTGTACGCGCTCTTCCGTGTGTATTGAATCATTGATGTGTAGCCGGGCAAGGAGGCGGCGACCCGACGGTGTTTTAGAGAGTCTAGTATATTGGTTTGTCAAGTGCGCCTCTCTCAGCTCTGTACTCGGCTTCATACCTCCACCTACGCAAATCCGACGAGAATGCACTCGAAGTCATTCTCCGCAAAATCTACAAGCGCGCCATCGACCTTCCTGTCAGCACCTCTAACCAGCGCCATTTGGGCTTGGGAATTGTGAACACCTTCAAGGAGCTGAGAGAGGCGCACTTGACAAAAAGTTCGCGGCGTGCGCGTTAACTAAAAGCCGAATGCTCTTGTCTCTCATTCCCCATCAGCAGCCATTGATTTGTTCCAGTAGGAAACGTTAGTAGAAGTAGAAGTGTTAAAAGCCGACTTCTGCTGTCTCTCATTCCCAGTAGCAGCCAATGCTTACCTCTAAGGTAGTGCCTGGTGAGATTTGTCCTGTGCGGGATTAAACAATAAAAAAAGTTTGTTCAAAACGCCGTTTAATAATGAAATAAACCAACGAAAGATGCCCCATGTTTTCTAAAAGCAAAACGAAAAGACGCCAGATGTTTCAAAAGAAAAACAAAAAGAAGACGCCAGGTGTTTTTTATCGGGCGAATTAACACAAGAAAATTTCGCAGTATTACCTTCAGGAGCTTCGCTCAATCTCATCATCATTCACCTCGTAGATCTGCCGTCAATTTTTAGGGGCAAAGCTCCTTTCGTCCGAACGGGCGGCACCCGTTCGTCCCCCGTAGCCGTGTTAATGGTGTGCAACAAGTATGACATTTTGACCTCCAAGGTAGTGCCAGTGAGAGATTGCTTTTGTGCGTTGTTGAACAATAAAAGATAGTGCTCAATGTACATGCCAATGGCTGCTAATGGGGAGTGAAGACAGGAGAATTTGGCTTATAGTTAACGCGCACGCTACGAATTTTTATTGTTCAACAACGCACAGAAGACAGTAAAGTCTTGCTACGTTATACTCGATGGGCGTAACCTCCTGTGTTCTAGAAAGGTTTAGCGAGCGTTGGGCTGCAGTGCCATAAATATAGTGAACTAGTATATACCATGAACTCGAGGTGGGTACTGGTGGGAAGTAGACACGAAGCGCAAGCCGTAAAAATGTGTGCATATGCCTTCTCTCGTTCAGTCCTTGGAATGTCGGCTGGATGGCGGCGCTTCTATATGAGGAATATATGATAAAAAGATGTGAGATGGTGGTACTTGGAGTGTTGAGTAGGTGGACCAACAACCACACAGACAGATGCATGGACAGACGCACGGATGTCTGCTTGGGCGGATGGACGCATGGACGAACTCAGGCTCGGATGCATGGACGAAAGTAAGAACGGACGCACAGATGAACGTGCAGACGCACGGACGGGCGGATAGACGCACGGGCGGCCACACAGACGCACGCATGGATGGACGGAAGTAAGAACGAATGGACGGACGGATGCTTCGCCCCACCATCCATCATGCACTCCGTGGATATGCTGGCAATTTTTTTTTCCACTAGCGAGCTAAGGACCACCTTTGTGTATTTAGTTGACGGGCTCAAGTTCGCCATAAATAAATAGCTGTTTTAACTTGCGGCGTTGCATTTGTTCGTTACAATAAGATCAATGTGGATCCCTATTCAAAGTGGGAGCAAAGCCCGCTAAATTTCAGCGCTGCCAAGTGGCCCCCTCCCGCGGTCTCGCCTCATCTGATCACGCGGCCACACGAAATGGTGACGCAATTTTCTGTTGAAATTTTGCCTGCTCAGAGCACACGTGTATAGTCATGTTGTCGCCACCCTCAACAGCGTCCACAAGCGACGCTGAAAAAATTCAGAATATGGGATCGCAGTGAATTGCAGCGTGGTGAATCATTTTTGGTTTGATACTCTTCTGAGCAGCCACTCTGAAATCGCCGCTGGGCTTATCAGTGAAAAGGCAGCTAGAGACGCCCGCATGGGCCACGCTCACTGGTGATACACGTGGACGCTGCGTGCGTGTTACTTTATAACATGACCAAAGCTTCAAATACCTGATCGAACTCGCGCTGCGACTGCACGACAAATCACTCGCAGTGGCCGAACAAAAACGCAGGATTCACGTGAACGCGTTGCACAAACCAAACAAAATAAAGCAGCGATTCCATTGCCAGGCAGCCAGGAGCAGCTGCATGACGGTACCACATTGTAGAAAAAACTACTCCGAGGTGGGAGGAAAATGCTTGTCCTCTAGAGTCCCCCCATACTCGGAAGAAGTTTTGCTCCGACCCTCCAGAGCAAAGTGTTTACTATGACTGGCTGGAGCAATCGCGTAGCCCATCCGAAGCACTTTTCACTGATATTTCACTCCGGCCAGCCGGAGCAATCACGTGGCTCCGCGGGAACATTTCCTACCGGCCTTTCACTCCGGCTTGCCGAAGTGATTACGTGGCACCTCTGGTGTGTTTGTCGCAGGTTTTTCAATACGGCTATCAGGAGCTTCTGCGTGGCAACTCCGGAGTATTCAAGAAATGTGCTTACTTCATTCGAACTGAATTTCAGGGGGGTGCACAGCAACTTTAGGTGTTTGTTCCTCTTTTTATTTATTCTATACAGATTGTGTCACGCGTCGCTTATATAAGAAAAATCTTATATCTGGTGCAAGCACTGTAGAGTTACTGTGCATTTTTCAACACAGAGCTCCAGCAGATGGAATTCAAGAAAGCACTTGAGTTTATATTGTTT